CGTACTTTGAATTTTTGTACTTCGAATGTTTGTACTTTTAGCTTGTAGATATGTTTGATACAATCAACAATCTCCCAAGATTTTCAGTTTCGGTTTCCAAGGTCTCGCCGTATATAAATACTCAAGCTAGCTAGCTAACTCAGCTTAAGTTTTCGTACAGCATTTAAAACAAAAAGAAACCAATTAAATCACAATTGGATATCCCTGCTAAGAATATAGTGGCCGGTTCAGTCTGGTTCTCGGAGTAATATAAACATAACTTTTTTGAGCTGTGCTGTGTTTGGTCGTGAGAATTTATAGATTTAGCCGCATTGATTTACATTTCGAAGAAACTCGCACTGTTTATTCGCCAGATGGAGGTATACTTTTCACATGTCATGACTGGGGTCTGTCAGGCGCTTATGGCATCTGCCAACTTGATCAGCGGAAAACTCGGTTTTTGAATCAAGTTTTCATGCCATAATTTCATATTGTATCACTCTGGAAAAGAGGAAATTGTGATGATAGTTCGAGGTAAATCATGACTACTCGATAAAGAAAATTTCCCTCAAAGACATCAGTACTTCATTTGATGGATTTGACTTTTCAGGCCACAGATAACATACCTTGTTGAAACGTTTCCTTGTTACCGCACGTACGATGGATCTTCGGGATCTCGTCAATATTGAAGTTCCCGAGTTGGAAGAATAATCAACTCTATCACATACATGTAATTTTCACTTTCGGAAACAGATTTCAAAACCTTCAGCCTGCGGTCAATGTACAAAGACTTACTTAGGCAATTAGTGTATTATCTAAGCTTATTTGAAGGTATGCAAACATTCTCGAGATGTTTCGTAAATGGTAATGGTCAGATAATGGAAACACAATATAAGAAAAGGAAAAATTAATTTCGGAACCTAAAACGACAAAGCTCAAAAATTAGTTTGCCATAATTTATTCACTTACTATGGCACAATGATCAGTTCATCATTGTAAAACGTTTTCATAACTTATACAATAGCAGGTATTGTGTTCACTAGGGAACCGATTCCCGTTGCTCGGAGATAACTAACGCGGAGATAAAGTAAATTCCGTCTGGTGACGCAGGAAGGAGAATTAGGATGAAACAAAGCGAATTATTGCGCTCTCGGATGAAGAAACCACTATTTGACACAAACTTTTTTTTAGAGAGGAGAAAATTTAAGTTAAAGGTATAATTATGGACCAAAGATCGACCTCAATTTTTAAAACCGAGTAGGCTTTGGAGACGAGTTTGACCACTGATGAAGATTTGGAGGCCGTCGTACAAATTTTTTCTCGCAAGTGGCAGGAAGAGAACCTCTGATAATTTCAGTCATAAAGGACTAACTCTAGGATATTCTCACGGTGATTAAAAAAATCAAGGGGTGTTATTATATTGAGAAAAAAAATAGTTTAATCTAGGGCTGGGCTAGATGAACTCTTTCGAATTTTAATTTTTAACCTGCTCATCAAAAAGTACAATTCTCTCAATAAGGAGCTTGAGATCAAAAGCGTTTTGAAGGTTTTTTCTCCCCAAATAAAGGTCATTTCATGGATTTAGGAGGTTATTTCTTAACTAAAAGTGTTGTTACTTAGAAGTCTTATTTAAACTTATGTCATGTTGGATAGAGTGAAGGAAGCATATGCGTCACGGCGCCGAGACGAAATCCGATCAAAGTTACACGTCAATGAAATTAGCAACAGAAAATACGTATTTTAGCACCACAACGACGGGAACCAGCAAACAATCTATTTTCATAAATCACTAACAATAGAAAGCTGACTTCTTAAGTTTCGTGACGACTCTGTAACCGAATAGAAAAACAATGACATTCTTCGTAAAATTATCATTGGTTTGTGTAACCAATAAATTTAGTTTACAGCATGTGGCGGCATGGTAAGACTTTTTAATCGTAGTTTCGTCAATTTAGCAAAACATATTTGCAGAAAGAGGGATTATAGAAGGGAGCAATCTTTTTGGTTACTTCAGCTGACAGGAAGTTAAACAGATAATTTTGAAATAGAAATTTATGTCTGAAATTAGAAAACTTAAGCCCAAAATAGTTCATGTATGGGCTGATGTTCGGTGCAAGTCTACCTGCACGTTCATGGCAAAGCGAAGAATAATTTTTGGCTGGTTCTCAAGCTGAAGTAAGACACAATATTTTCTTTGGTTTGAGCTTTGCTTTCCCCACACAAGTGAAGCAGAACTATCGTAAAATTCGCCTTTCTGAAGCTGCGCTCTCCAGGGAGACGTTTGACGTGAGAAAAGGAATAAACCACATGCTTTCGAGAGAAAATCAGTGCACTTCTCTCTGGATACCTTCTTGAATTCGCTTCCATTTTTCGCTAAACGTGCACAAAAAGAGTTGAGTGAATGAATTATGGCGATATACTTCTGCTTCTATCGAGTGAAGCAGCCCAAAAATAAGTGGATCTTAAATGAGGGGCACGAATGATACTTCTCTCCTAGAAATTTGGTTCACTGATAAGTGTGAAACCAGTCCTCACACAACGACTTATGACTCTTTGATCTAAGAAAAGTTCTAATCCTTTTAAACAACTGTCTCCATTTTTAAAAACAATTTTAAAAGAAAATTGGATGACAGACTTGTTGAAACTTGCTGGCCAAACCGTTGCGAAACTTTTGAAATTTAAACAACCGGTCCTCGATATATGCTTAGGTAACAGACTACCTTGACTAAGACAGTGATTTTGGTCAACTAAGATTTTCTAAAAATGAATTCCTGAGCCATATAGGAAATAATGTTGTGATAGCTACCTTAATCTTCACGATGTGCTTTCACGCTCAGATTCAGTGAAAGGGAACTTCTTCACAATCAGTGGCTTTTTCGAAGCCACCGTACTTCCCAGAAATATAAAGGAAGTGACGTAATGATTAGTACTCCGCATGGGCAGGATTAACGTAACTATCACAGAGTTATTTCTTTTTATGGTTCATGAATCGACTTCGGGAAAGCTTAGTTAACTAAGATCACGGTCTTAACTAAGGAAGTGTGATGTGTATGCATGGTTAATCGTTTAAAACATAAAGCAAGAAGATAGAAGATATTATTGTTGGACGCCATTCATAATTTATGCGTTTTCTGTTTAATTCTCAGAAATATGGAGGAAGTGGCGTAATAATTTGAAGTCGGTGGGTTTCGTATTCTGATGTGAATACTATGGCCACAAGGCAAGCGGAGGGCGCGGAGAGTTGTTGGAGTGATGATAAATTAATCAAATATGACCATAATATATTTGACTTATTCTCTTCCCACCACACCCCACACTCTTCTCGTGCGCCCTGAGAAGACAGCGACTGAGTCCGAGTTCAGTCTGTAGCCATCGTATGCAAGCCTGAGTCTTTAGCGCCATGATATGAAATTCTGAACTAGCAATGAGTTTTTAAAAATGAGTGACGGGTTCTTGAGAGCCTGGCACTATTTCACGAGCTGAATCGCTTTTAAAAAAATAGGCACAGAAAAACGTTTTTTGAGCCAGCGATATCCAACGCGATATCCAACGCGGTTTGACTATGGTAGTAGATAGAGCTAGATCGGTGTAGAAATTTACCAGACTAATCGAGTTTGTTTGGCGCCAAAAAACGCACAGATATTTGTTCGCGGACATATATAATCCTCTAATGTTACACGGTTTGATATCTCAGGAGAACTAGAAGAAGACTAAGAAGAAGCGTGCCCTTCCACGCTGGAGATAGGAGACCCTTAGGTTTAGAAGGGATCGTGAGATCAAAGTTGAGTAAATATTTCCCTGATAATACAAATGAAATATGCGGGAAGAAACGATTCCTGACAATCAATAAGTGCTTCGTTAGTGCTTGTAAATTATTCAAACAGATAGGAAATATACTGTTGAATAAGAAAAGAACATTTCTGTGTTGCATTCAACGAGCGCCACCCTCAAATAGGCGCAGCCCATGAATAAGCGCCACACTTGCAGAGCTTCTAGCTCATTTCTGATAAAATTCAATTGTAAAATGGTTCTCATTTTAAGAGGTTTTTGTCATTCCCCCCTCTCCGAAAAAACCTCATGTTCTTGGGAGAACATTTAATTTTTGCTCCACACGGGGATCTTCTGTGCCAAAGGATATGTTCGTGACGCATTCCTTTGCCAAATTAATTGTTTAGTTGCTTGCCTATTAAAAGATTGTAAAAACGGAGAAGAGAAAGAGAATGGAGAGACTCTGATGTCCGGTAGCAAAAACAATTTACTACAAACTTGCTAAGACAAGGTAAATAATCATTTTCAATAGGACTTCGGTATAGTTTCTTTGCTGAAACGATGTAACGTTCGTGTAGCCATGATTTGCATGGCTACTTGAACTTTGAAATCCCAAGGTTACACCAGAATAAAATAACAAACTACTTACATAACTATAAAAAGTGTAAAAACCTAAGAAATTTCAAGAGCAAGCTCGGTTTTTCTTCCCTTCATCTCTATCACACGTCTCCCGAAGGCAAAGAAGATGAAATTTGATGCCCTTAGAATGCCTTCCTCTTCTGGTGGAACTAAATTTGAGAAAAACGTTGTAGAGGGGCCTTATTTCACACAGCATTCTAATAACCATAAAACACTACCAGGAATTTAATGACAACACCATGAGAAATGTTTTGTTTGGCTGAAAGTGTAAGGGTTATAAAATCCCTAAAAGCATATTTTCATTTTAGATGACGATAAAAAACAACCCGTACCAAATCTAAGTATTCTGTTGTTTCCTTACAATAATAAGAAATAGAATTTTACAATGGCTTCACTATTATGATAAACTTAGCTTTCCATCTCCTCGGCAGACTAACCGATGCTTTGCACAATTTTACACAAATCTTTTAAGGGATGAATGGCCTTCTACTAAATTGGATACAAAAGTCTAAAGGGATCCTGCCACCCTCGTTTCCCCTCCCCCCTCAGGTTTGTGTCCTTGTACAGGTAAGATTAAAATAGCTATTACGATCTTTAACACTTTAAACCCTAACAATATACACTGTTCTCTTTATATTTCCTCTGGTACTAACAATGAGAGTTTGTTTGACAATCAGGAGCTTCCTAAATTAATGATCATTGCCTTTATTTTCGTTACATTTACCATTTGATTCTAGGGTGATACCCTGAGGACAAGTTAGGAGCCAGTCATTCCTAGGGATAAACAGTTCAATTCTACAATAAAGAATGAAAACGTCCATCAAGACACTTAGTAGAACATCTCAATTAGAAACAATTTGCCTTTTCTTGGAATTCTGAGGACTGGAGTCGAGGTTGTTATTCATTCATTCCTGTCTGACTGTACAAAGGATGGCGACAAATTGGGCAGCTGCGACTGCAAATTAAAAGGAAATATTTCAGGTGAACTTGAGAAAAACTAGTGTGGGAATGTCACAGTAAAATCTGGCCTACCTAATATTAAAAGTCTTGCCAAGTTTATGAATGACGTAATATCGCTTTAGATTGAAGAGAACTCCATGACAAAATACAAAGAGCGTCTCGAAACTAAAACTGAAATTATCTCTGGATCTCAGAAAAGCTAAGGGGACAATCAGGACGATACCTGGAACACCAGACTCACTTCCAGCTGGAGGCGGGAGCGAAGGTCTGTTTCTCCGGAAGTCCGTACTGTTTATTCTTGATGTAGTTTCCTATCATTTCCCAAGTTATTTTGATCGCAAAAACCAATCGCTGTTTGTCAATATATCACTTTTACCCACTGGCGATCAAGGCTCCTTAAGAGGAGACAGATTTTTTAATTTTACATGCAACTGAAAACTACTCATTGTAGACTCATAGCTCGAGCAGGTCCACACACACACACACCCAATCCAGAATTGAATAGCAACAAATTTTCAGCGGAGCAGTGGAGTGTTCTCCCATATTTAAGCTTATTCCCAAAAATAGATATCACGATATTTCATGCACACTTACACGCCGTTCTGTATCATAGCAATGGCACACTCTCGGTGAACCTTGTGTGAGCATGGCAGGATCTGACAACCGCTGAAAGCGTCCTGAAATAAAGAACCAATCAATGAAATTAAAAAAAAATAGCAAAAAAATTTGGATTGTGATCTAATTGCCCTGCTTCTCTTTCGCCAGATTTCCACTTAAGAAATGCAGGCACCTGACGTTGCTATGCGTAACAGGTTAATGAAACCCAATTGAATGCAAGGTTAATTCCTTTGGCTAAAGGGCAAAATCCTTTGGGGCATATTTCTTCCATTCCTTACTCTTATTCAGCCTTAATAAGTAATTACGTAACTACCTCTAAACAGATGCAGCACTCATCGTGTCCTGAATTTGCTCGGCAAGAATGTCTTCCCTCCAGCCGTTTGTCCAGACAGACGTTACACACATCACAGTGGAAGGAGCGGTCCTTGTAGATTCTGAACGGAAAATAGGGGCATCACTTAGCAGGTATTTATTCGAGCACAACATGATTCGTTGGGGAAACAAATCTCTAACTCATACTGAAAAGCGTTGTATTTTTCTTCTCGATAAGCTAGAACAATTAGTGAGCAGGAAACTTGATACGTATGAGGAAACCAAAACTAATATTTTGTCGGACTCTCATTCCTTACTGAGAAGCAACTAGCAACGGGGTGTTTTAAGCACTCATCGATGAAACATTTCTCTGCAATACCTTGCTCTCGCTCAAAAAGTAACCCTCATTCTTTTGGACAGCATGCATAATATCCAAACAAACGAAAAAAAAAATTTCATGAATATTGTTTCACCTACCGGCAGATACCACATTTTTCGCAGTGATAAGGAGCTTTATCCTCCCCTGTGAAGTGTTTACACACCGAGCAGAAATATGCTGAGAACCTTGTTTTGCATCTGACACAGGTGTGGGCGTCCTGGTTGATCTTAAAAGTCAAGCATTCGAAGTTAAATCGCTTATAACCTAAGCGTAAGAACTCTCTTTCCTCTTATATAAAATTTGAAATCAATGTCATTCCTATTTACCTCTTGTTGATGGCTACAAACAGAGCACTCAACAGAACACGCCTCTCTTGCTTTGGAATTGTCATTTGGACACCCAGAGTTGTTATGACAACGATGACAAGGAAAGAACTTTCCGCAGCATGAGAACTTGACACGGCAGAGCCGCTGATAATGTTCACACAGCCATTGTCGAACCCCAGCACTAGCCGAGTCTTGCGAAGGTGTTTCTTGTCCACCGCTCGTGGAGTTCCCTTCTACTCTTTCATTCATAAGTTCCTTTTCTCTCGCTTCTCTCGTTTCCCATTCTTTTCTTTCACGTGCAAGTTGTTCTTTCCTTGCCCGCTTTTCTTTTCTTTTTTGCTCAGTTTCTTTCATTGCTTTCTCTCTTTCTTGTCTTTCTTTCAAAGTTCTCTCGACAAGACAGCAAGCTTCAGCCACACGTTGCTCGAGTACGGCCAACGACTCGTCAGCAGATGTGTTTGGATTACTGTTTAACAGACCCTGATCAGCTCCTGCACTTTCCCTGTCCGGAAGAAATTCTGGAGCGTCATCTCTTCTTTCGAACTGCGATGATAACGTCGGCCTTTCGGTGAGCACATATCCATTTGTGAAGATATTTGGCGGATTTCTTGCCCGTACATTACCAGTGGGAAACTCTTTGACTTTCAACGGGAGATTTGCTTTAGATCCATCTTGGAGGAAACTTGAAGATTGAGGCAGTCTTAACTTCTTCGCTGAAACAATTTTGGGCATTAGGACTAAGTTAAGGGATGACTCTTGCAGTTGATAACCATCACGACTTGAGTATATTTGCGGAGGAGATCCCATGATGCTAGGGTAGGCAGACTGATCTCCTGCATCGAATTTTGTAAAATCACGACATTCAGGAAATGTCGATGAACTTGGGGCAGAAGGGTGGTACAATTCAGGCATACGCCCAGATCTGTTGTACTCGGCGTGGGTACCTGCAGGTACTTCTAAGTCTTCAAATGGACCGCAAGAACCCCTTTGCTCATCAGATGCATTGCACTCATAAGAATGACGTGCGAGAAAACTGGGATCTATTCCGATGTGATTTGTTCCAAAGTCATCCTCATTCAGATCCCTTTGTGAACTGTGGCCTGACGGAAGATCGCTTCGGCGTCCGCCTTTCAAACTAAGAGATATTTTTGTTTTCGAATTACTCTCATGGGAATCTCCTGGTGTTTTTGGAGGGGCAACAGCTTGGGTATTCCAATCCTTTTCAAAGCCGTAAGCCCCATTTGTAGGAACTACATCGCGGTTTTCACCGCTGTCTACAACCACATCTCCTCCATGAAAAGAAGTTTTTAAATCGACATTCCCTCCATCGCTGACTTCGTTTGGTGTCTTCATTATCTTTTGTGAGATGCTGATTCCTCTGTTTTTATCCTTTTGGGATGGATTTTTATCTCGATAGCAATGATTGCCTTTACGATGTTCTTGACCAGAAAGTTTACCTGGTTCGTCTAATTCTTCGTTGCTGTCCCACTTGTTGATACCTCCTCTAAATGATGGAATATCAGGGTTCACAACTCCATCTGCTGCGTCGCAAGGAAATTCTCGCCAGCTTCGGTCAGGGCGCGACTTCAACTGAGGAACCTCTTGAAAGTCTTCGCACAATAATAACTTTGCAAGGGCGATGTTACATTGCACTAAATCCGGGTGATCTGAACCGTAGTCAAAACTTTTCAAAATATGTAATGCTTCTTCAAAGCAATTTTTTGATGACAGGTTTTGTTCCATCAGAAAAAATCTAACACCTTGCTTATAGAGAAACGATGCATGTGTTGGGTGGTTTTTCCCGAGCAATTCTTTGCAATATGGTACAAAAACGTCGAGGAAAGATGCAAAGTCTAAGTTTTTTTCGTTCAAGTGAAAATCGACTAAATTCAAAATCATTGCGAAGAAGAAGTCCCAGTTGAATTTTCCATTACATCCGAGGACAACTTCAAAATCGGGAAAGAAAAACGAAAATGAAGACATCGGTGACAAAGCAGACGATGAAGATGACAATGTTGGTGACGAACATGATGATGACGAGGATGAAACTGATAAAGATGATGATGATGATGATGACCCTAACCCTGACCCTGATGCTGCTGTAAACGATTGTGAGGAAGGCGATAGTGGTGTTGATAGCGATTGAGGGGAAAGAGAAGGGAAAGCCAAGCGCTCCGCTATTTTCTCTGCTCGAGCCACATCTCCAATATTTTGATACACCAAACAAATTTTAGAAGATATAAATTTTGAGAACATTCCTCCTTCATCGTTCATCCTCTCAGATAGTGACCCCAATGTCCTCAGCTCCATGAGTGCTTTGACAGGCTCTTTGAGCTCTATGAACAACTCTGCTCTGTTGTAATATATGGCAGCTACCAAATGTGGGGGAATAATGGGGTCTTTGGCCTTCAGAAGAAGACGCTCTTGCAACTTCACTGCAGCAGGGTAGTTCTTTTGATACTGGTAAGCTAGGCTTAAGTTGGATTGTATAACAACAACGCTTATTTCTGTAAGGTAAGTTTTGTTTTTGTTTTTAAATGTTTCTAAAATCTCCAGCGCACATTCTAGATAATCCTTAGCCTTCTCCATAACTCTCATAATCAGATAAACACAGCCTACATTCGCCTTGGCTACTGCTTTTAAAGTATCGATAACTTGAATGTTGTTTCCAGGACATGGCGCGACATCAGATGTGAAAAGAGAATGACATCGCCGAAATAAGTCTATAGCTATTTTATATTTATGCAGCTTGAGTGCAACAGCACCAAAGACAGTAGTAAAGCTGGCATAAAAATGGTCCTCGTTATCTATGGGCAGCTCGGGGTTTAACAAAACAGCACAAAAGAAAGGAGGAGCGGAGCAATTACTCAAACACATCTCTCTACCCCGATCCATCTGCTCCTTCTCGTAATTAGTCGGGTTTCCGAAGCTATCTGGGGTTAGATTCAGGAAGTGCTTATACGCAGCTTGCAAAGACTCTGTGGCCGCTTCCACTTTGCATTGCTGGAACTGATCCATCGTTTCTCTCAAGTGTTCAACTGTGCTGCGTCTGGCCGACTGATTATCATCACCTTCCAATTTATCCTCAAGATGGAGTCCTGAACCAGCGTTTTTCGGAATCTCGGGATCTGTTCTATCCATCTTTAAGCTAAAAACAGAAATTCATTCACATTAAGTGTCATCAAATTTTTTATACTCAAGCTGAATAATGATACACGTGGCGGAATGTTTTAGTCAGCGCGCGTTTCTTTTGTTTTCACCGAAGTCTTGCAGCAGGCTGTCATTTCGTATTTGGTGATTTTCTAACATGTCCATATGATCCTATGGACGTGTTGAAATAAAACAACTAGGTTTCGAAGAGGAAGTGGATTTGTTTTTTTTGTGTGGGACACTTTTGCGGTGATGCTACCAAGTTCTCCTCTGGATTGTGAGGTGCGTTGTAAAATACAAAAGTAGTACGAAATCATCTCGGCAAAAGTCACTCTGCCTTATACGGCATCTAAAAACTGTAAGTGACTTAAGTCGCCATTTGAGAAATTTCCGAAACAAATTAAACAGCCAAGAGCAATAGAATCATAAACATTCCATGGCAACTAACGGACACGAAATATCGATCAAACTAGTTCAAAAAGCGTGTGTAGTGAAAACCGAAGAACAGATTCAAGGCGATCTTATGTTCTTGTAAAGTGCCATTATCATAGAGTGAGTATATGATGCGCGTGCGGCGAGTTTATAGAACACAGAATTTCGCGACAAGCAATATAATGTATATCCACTAAGCGCTGAGCGTACTGTGCAAACGGAAGCGACCTAAAGGGACTCTTTATAAGACTATAAAACCTAAAGTTTAGGAAGACCTGGTATCCTTGTAATCCGTTTATCATAGCATTTCAAAAGGAATCTTCTCGATGGTCTGGAAATTTGGAGGAGACTTGATGAAGATGAGTTCACTTGAGAACTGTCTTCCATTCCGAAAAAATGATAAATTTGAAACAGAAAGGCTTTGATCCGTGGACCATTATAACACATGTAGAAGGTGCTATTATCTCACAAACTTACGCAAGTAAAAGAACTTAAAATTACGCTGCATTAAAGTCCCGTCTTAGATTCACCTATCTACATGACAAAGTAAGTTGAATCGATCGATAATTACTTTAGCTTCCATTACATTTGTAGCGTTGGTTTATCTAGTATCTTAACTGAAACAGCATTTAGTGCCATCAATTTGAATGTAAATTAGGTCAACCATAATTTGAAACGACCGATCCATTTCTCAAGTTGCGGAGGCCCACGAGACTCGCGCGAGGAGATGGAGGAGCCTCGCGCTTGCATTGCGTTTGTTTTACGCTTATCTGACAAACGCAAATTAGAAAGGACACCTCTTCTGTTGGCTGATCTGGTTTTAATTCGAGTGATCGCGAGAAAATTTACTTCGATACAATTCGTAACCTTCGATCCCTAAAATTTATTTTATTTAACGTTTGATAAAAAATATTGTTCCCTTGCGGGTGGTTTCCTGTGTTTTGCGGGTACTTCACTGTACAGCTTACGTAGGAGATCAATTATCGTATTGTATGGCGTCTTGCGATCTCAAATCGCCTGTAGGTTTGTCTGAGGGTGGTAGAGAGTTTGTACCTGACACGTGATTAGGTCCAAAATATCAAGACTTGACTCGTGAATTTTACAAGAAGGCAAGGTTCAGTGAGGTTTAAATTTCCCTTTTAAATTCGTGGCGCGTGAAATACTATTTTAAGAACATGTGACGCGTGATTGTTTCTAAACTTTACGCGTGAATGTGGATCAGGAACCCTCCCTTGCTACCCTCTTGTCTACCTATGGTTCAATAAGTTGTTGATAACCAATTGGAAACGAAAAAATAAAATGATCTGACGGCTTACACTGGTTTACGGGGGAAAAGGTGAATTGAGTGTCGAAATTAATCCGGGAATGCTTCGCTCGGTGATCGTTCCAGATAACTCACGAGCCCAAAGGACTTTGGTTGGTTTAACTTACAGTTTTGATTGGTTCCTTTTCACAGTTTTCCTTTCCACTGATTGACTTTCGTGAGTACTTTACTTGTGGTTTCGAGAGACTTGACAAAGATGCCCCCTTATTTGGTACATGGTTAGCTAAAAATGAAAGCAGATCACGAGTACTCAAGAGGAACGCACTGCTATTTAATCAATTTCCGATAAAAATAAAGAATAATTATTACAGACATGCTTTAAAGTTCATTCTTCTTATGCAATCTATCTCGGCTATCAACGACCATCTACTTACTTTACTTATTCAATCTACCCCAGAAGCTGTTCAGAAGGCATAATATTAATTAATATTGCATTCAATATATACATTTTCATTACTATTGCATTTAATATATGCATTCAAAGGAGTGCCCTGTGTGCATTATATCTTGACTGTTAACGAATATCTGCTCACTTTGTCTCTTCTGCTGTGTCCGGAAGCTGTTTAGAGGGCGGTTTAAAACAAATCCGTCATCCATTGGGATCGAAATGACACGCAAGCAATTGCAGAACGGATAGCTTATTTTCCCTCCTTGTTCACCCATGCGTGCATCTCGATTGAACATTAAGTTAAATACACACTAAGAGCACTGACTACTGCACTACACAGGAATTTAGACTTTCAACAGTAACCGCAACAGTTCAAAGCGTTTGGCTTGTTTAGCTTCCCCTTTGAATTAAAACTAATCTCGTGATAATCTGTTGATTTGATTGCAGACCTGTGGAGTAGGCTTTGGCAAACAGACCTCTCTTGTGCGTATTAAACAGTCAGGAAAATTCTAGCCTTACCTGGTTAAACTGGATTGAGCTACTGTTCAGTTCAGGATAGGTTCTTGTTTGAGCGGGCCAAAAATGATGTCACATAATCGAAACAGAAACTATTGATCAAAGCATAAGCTGTCCAAGGTCATTATTCAATTTTGTACAAAGCTATCATTGAAGCGCAGCTTGATAGTTCACAACATGCCCAGGCGGAAACAAAAATATCATTCCGCGGGCAAAGAGGCGTGCAAGACTCTTGGGCTCGCGAACCATCTATGTCGTAGCTTATTTAAAATCCATCGCATAATGCATTCTGCCCTGGCGTGCTAGCACCGTCCAGGTTGGCCTTACAATTCAAATTCATTGATATACATGCTAAAATCAACATGTCTTAGTCTTGTCCGCCAAGAGGATTAGCATTGCAGCTTCACTCTGTTATGAAATTGCAGCTGGAAGCTTCCAATCAATATACAACGCTTCCACGAATATACAACGCTGGTGGCCGGAACTTTACCGAAAGTAATAGAGGTTTGATAAGAGGAGAAATTTCGATCAGACAAAGCTCTTATCTCAATTTCCATAATTATTTAACTTCTTAAAAATTATCTTGATGTTCAACAAAATATCAATTCCGTAACCTGAGTAGTGTCATCACTTAGCCAGCTTATCTTGTTTGAACTTTAGGAATTTTATCCAGTAAGATGTTGTGTTTTGAATTTTGGTAATTATTTTATTCTTAGCAAGTTTTACCTGTTTTGGTGGAAGGGAGGTTTAGGGGCTCTTTAAAAAGTCTTTGGATTTAATCATTAACTTGAGCGTAATGAAACATTTTGAACAGATAGATTGAATTTGCTGTGATAAACCCACATTCATGATTTCAATTGTTTCAGACGGACGCGACAGGCCACTGGAAGACAAAAAAGGATTGGCTCTGAGAGATACAAATACAAAGCGAAGAAAAGAATTCAATATTGCCTTGTGTGATACCGACTGGTCTTTCATTAATGAAGCTGAAGATGTAAATAAAGCTTACGACTCATTTATAGAAAAATGCGTAGGAATCGTCTGCACTTGTTTCCTTTTAATAACGTGAAAAGAAAAAGGTTGACTAAAAAATTACAAAGCCTTCGATCTCTAGGGGATTATTAAAATCAATAAGCCAAAAGAACAAGTTGTAAAAACAATACCTGGGTTCTCGCTCAACGCGACTATTAAGAACTGCCAAAAAACAATACTATGAAGCCCTGCTTGTTAAAAAAAAAAATTGACGCGACTATTAAGAATTACCAAAAAACAATACTTTGTAGGCCTGCTTGCTAAAAATAAAAGTGATTTCAAAGCTACATGCAAAATTCTAAATTGTGCTACCAAATCGTTCGAAATGTAAACCTATTAAAGTTTCATTGATACAGGAACACGGTGTGACCATTACTGATTCTGAAGACATTGCAAATAGGTTCTGCCAGCAAGATCATCCCATTGTTTCAATCTTTTAATGTATACCTAACGCTAGTCTCATCGTCCTCTCTACAAAATTTTGATTCCGTTAAAATAAACGAGCTCTTCGAAGTTGTAAAAATCTTTAAAGACGGCAAAGGTCCTGGACTGGACAATTTGCCTAGGTCCACCATTTTATCTGTGAACCATTGCTGGATATTTCAACTTGTCTTTGACTTCGGGTATTTTTCCATCTAAACTTAAAATTGCTAAAAGGGGTCCCTGTATTAAATACGGACAACCCATCCTTGATTTAAAATTACAGATCAATTTCAATACTTCCTGCTTTTTCGAAAAATTGGAAAAAAATTGTACATAATCGTATCTCAAGGTACCTAACTGAAAATATGCTCTTGTCTAACAACTGGTTTTGCATAAGAGATTCTGAATGTTTTATTTTTAGCCGACGATAACAAAATTTTTTTACCAAAACCGAAATCTTAATTATTCTTATCGCTTACTTCAACGATGAAATTTGTAGTGTTACGACTTGGCTAAAAGCTAACAAGTTGTTCATTAATGTGAGAAAAACAAAAATCATGATTTTTAGAACTTAAACAAAATTGCAAGCGACAAGCCCTCTCTAAATTGATAACACAATTATTGAGGAAGTTGAACACATCAATTTTTTTTAGTTGTTTACAGAGACCAGTATCTTGCGTGGAAAATGCAAATTAGCTACATTTGTACGAAAAAATTCTAAAACAATAGGAATGTTATATGAAACAAGGTTTCACGTACTTAGCAAATCTCTTCTCTTATTGCATTATTCTCCTGCCTCTTGCCATTCTCTCCATCCACTAGATCTTCTTACTTCCCTTCTCTCTCTTTCTATCATCTCTCTATTTCTTCTCATTCT